GTGGTGGAGAGTGAGGGGGCGGGGCAGGGTGAGGGGGCAGGGCAGACGGCAGGCAGGACATTGAACCCAGGACAGGACAGGTGCCAGGCCCCAGGCTTGCCCCTCCGAGGAAATCAGGGCTGCAGTGTCCAATTCCAGCCAACTCAATCCTCTCTGGGCTGGAGCCCTGGATCTGGGCCAGAGTGGAGAGCCGGTGGGCTGGGGGCCTCACCTGGCGGGCTGACATCGGGCTCCCACACGTCCCTGCCTATGGGAAAACGGACAAAAATGCTGCCAGAGAAAGGGGTCTTTCTCTGGGATCCCCAACCCCACTGCTGCCCTTTGCTGCAGTGTGTGTCGTGTCCAACCCCTCTCCCCCTGCTGCCCCAGTGCTACCCCAGTCAACCTCGAGGGATCTTGCAGATCCAGTCCAGCTGCGTCTCGCATTGCATGACCACCCACTGCAGAGAGGCCAGGTCCAACACTGCACAGCCCCGGATGTCATCGTCGTCATGCCGGCTCCGGTCGAAATTGTGGTAAGAGAACTGGAGAAGGGGTGGAAGAGGAAAGAGTGATGTTAAGGCACAGAGCGCAAGCTGCCTCATCCCCAGGATCGGTGACTAAGGGGCCCGACCTGAGCTGGGAATCCCTCTCCAGCCTGCTTTCTTAGGCTCGGGCCTGGAACCTGCCCATCCCAGGTTACACCCTAACAGACAGTCCCCACCCACAACCAAGCCCCGTCTGTCTCCCAGGCCTGCCTCCTCCAGGGTTCTCACCCCAAGGCCATCACTCCAGTGCCAGCTCTGACCCTCCCTAGGGTCCCGACGGTTCAGGCCAATCCAGAACCAGTGCTGTTCATGGATCTCGGGTTCTGATTCACTTCAGCCCAACCAGGGTATGGGAAGAGAAGAGAGGGGAGGTGAGAGCAGCAGGGGCCCAACACAACAGTCTGGTCACTATCAGCTGTGACCTGGGCAGTCCCAAGTATATGAAGACTGTCCATCTGGGCTTTACACTGACCCACCCAAACATGTTTTTTTTTTGTTTTTTTTTTAAGTCCTTTCCCTGGAGATGAGGAGAGCTGAAGCAGGTGCCCAGCTCAAAGGACAGTGACCTGGTTCCCCTTCTGGTGCCTTCCTCATGAGAGGCCCTGCCCAGCAAGATTCTGCATGTGTTTACTTTAGGGAGGTTAGGAAGCTGATGGCTCTATAGCAGAGACCTCCAAGCTCTGAATCTAAATAAAGCCAGATTCAAGTCCTGGTTCACTATGGACCTGCTCTGTGGCCTTGGAGCAAATAACTTAAACTCTCTGTAAACCCTGGAGGGTCACTGAGAATTCCTGTGCCACAGGGGTGTTGAGAGATTTGAATGAGGATGGTGTGTTTAGCACAGTACCTGGTCCATGGCTAGTGGTGATCAGTGATAAACTATTATAATTGCTGGCCAGATGACATATCTTGATGATTGGCAGGAGGAACTAAGATAGAACTAAGACCTCAGGAAGCCTGTATCCATTTGGATTTTTCCCCAAAACTAAGAGCTATAAACACTGTGTGCTGTAGAATACAGTATGCAGAGCCCACAGGACAGAGATGGGGTCCTGGAGGAAACCCCCCACCCCCACCCTGGGCACACCCAGTTACAGCTTTTCTTCTCCTATCTCTCAGGATGGCTTATTGAGGATCATGGAATATGGGAAGTTGTGAGATAGGCAGGGAGGTTGCTCAACTTGGATCAGCTTATGGTCTGCCATAGAATGTTCATGCCTTGGAGTGGGTGTTGCTGGCTCTGTGTGGCTGGCAAGCAACATAGTCTCCTATGAATGAGTGAATCACACCAGTGTGTTCACCCAAGACTCCAAGGGTCCCTGGCTACTTGAGGGGACAGGATGGTCCTGGCACTTGTGACAGATCCACAGCTCATTCCGAGGCCTTAGCTAGGCCACTGGGGTCACCTTCACTCTATCCACCTCCTGCCTCTGTGCCCAGCAAAACCAAGAGTCTGGCAGCCATGCCTGCCTCCATGCATGTGCAGGCAGCCTTCCACCCCAGGCTCAGTACCCGAAGATCTTGTTGAGCATGTTGGCCACAAAGTGCTCCTCCTCATAGCTGGCCAGGCTCAGCAACTGGGCCCCCAACTCCTGGCAGGCCCCCTGGGCCTGGATCCAGCTCTTCTTGTCCTGCTGCCGTGCTGAGCTGAACACCTGCAGGAGCAGAGTCCAGTTGTGTAAGCTGTGCCCACTGGTCCACCTCCCCAGGGAGCACCTGCTGCCTTCCCCAGGATAGCAGAAGCGTGTGCTGTGGCCTCAGTACTGAAGAAAATCCTGCTTATCACGGGAGGGACTGGCACTATCAGCTCCTGGTGAGAACCCCTGCTGTTCTATCCCCTGATCAGGGAGGAGATCTGGGCTCCAATCCTGCACAGCCACAGCTTGCTGTGGACCATTCCCTTCTCTCTCTCTGGATTTCAATTTCTGCATGTAATAAAAGACCTTGGACTCTGTCCATGGCTCTCAAACCAGGCCCCACCCAGACCTACTGTATCCAAATCTCCACAATGGACAGCCTCATGGATTTTATTTTTTATTTTATTGTTTATGGTGCTGGGGCTAGAACCCAGAGCCTTGCACATGCTGGACTAGAAAATTTATTTTCATTTTATCAGGCTCCTTAGGCAATTCTTAAGAACACATTGGGGCCTGCCTTTGACACTGATGATCCCTATGTTTCCTTCAATTTCTCAAATATTTCCTGAGCACCTACTATGTGCCAGACCTGATGCCACTGACAAGTTTCGTTAGAAATTACCCTGTTTAGCCAAGCACAGTGGTTCACACCTGTAATCCTAGCCACTCAGGAGATGGAGATCAGAAGGTTTGTGGTTCTAGGCCTGGGCAAAAAATTTCATGAGACCACATCTCAACCAACAAAAAACTGGGCGTGGTGGAGTATACCTGTCATCCCAGCTAAGAGGGAAGTGTAAATAGAAGGCTTGGGCATAAACACAAGGCCCTATCTCAAAAATAGACAAAATAAAAAAGGGCTGATTGCCTGGCTCAAGTGGTAGAACACCTGTCTAATAAGCACAAGGTCCTGAATTCAAACTCCAATATGGCCAAAAAAAGAAATTACTCCTGTCTATGGTCTGAGGCGAGGTCTCTGGATCATGGATGTTCCCCCTGGGCCCCTCACGTTGCTGCCCCTTTGCTCTTGTCCTCCCTTTTGCCCCCTCCATACCAACAGACTGTCCTACCTTATAACAATGCCGGAGTTTGGGGTCTGAGGCCCAGCCCTGGGGACAGGAGTCAGTGAGGCTGGGTGTGGGGTCCGGCCCAGGCAGCTCTGGTGTCACTGGTGTGCCCAGGCTCTGCCGGCAGATGTATCGAGCCCGGAACAAAGTGCAGCTCTTCACCTCCCACAGACCCATGGCACTACCAGTGGCCAAGGCCACACAGCCCCCACGTCTGTACCCTGAAGAAGAGAGAAAGGAGACCACGTGCTAAGGAGGACTCACCTCCCTGCAGGGAACTGTTTCAGTCCTGGCACTGGGAACTGGCTTGACCATCTCTGCAGGGATAAGCTTTGTGGGGTCGAGGTGAGACCGCAGACGCTCAACCTGTCTTATCATGTACCTCATTAGATAATGGAAAGGGTTTAAAGAAGCAATCAAGGTGGCATTTTAATGGTACTAATAGCAAATGCTGTATTGTGCTCACTATTGTATGCACCTTAGCTATATTTCCCTTTCCACATATCAGCACTTTCCATATATTTAAGCCTCACATCAACTCTACGGGGAAGGCGCCATTGTCCCCATTTGACAGGGGAGGAAACTGAGGCTCAGAGGATACCTGGCCAGTAAACAGCAGCATGAGGTCTTAGTGGGTGCACTAAGTTTGGCTCCAGAGCCTATGCTCCTAACCAATAGATCACGCCATACAAATGGTTCATTTCCTGGGAAGCCCTGGGCTCTGTCCTAGAGGGCAAGTCAGTCCACCTGGGTCTCCTAGCTTCCTCAAGGCCAATTGAAGATGTGAACTGACTGAACACTGTGGGGCAAGCAGGGCCCACCTGGCTGGTCCCGATTCCAGTGGGTATACATGACTTCATCCCCACTGAGCCAGCGGAAGGAGCCAGTGCCATTGAGGTCCTGCAGGGCCGTCCAGAAGTACTCGCCCTCCCAGTTGTAGATGAGGCTGCTGACAAAGGCCTGTTCGAACCTTCGGGAGACAAGCTAGTTAGGGCAGGGGCACCCTGTCCCAGGTTGGATGTACACCCGGCCAAGGAATGTATAAGAAATGTTGGATATACAACTTGCTCAAGGAAGTAGGGACACCTGGGTGCTCAAAGAGCAACCAAGTTCCCTCTTCTACTGTCTACACTCCTTGGCTTACTGAGAAGAGAGTACAGAAAATCAGACAGAACCAAGGCCTGTCCTTCTTTGGCATCCAGTTCACACCTGGGCCTGCCCCTACCCTGCTCCATCCTGGGGTCATTTAACAGATGAAGTCTTTCCTGTGACAAGATTTCAAAAAGATACTAGAGCCCACTGTAGCTCACTCCAGGCCCCATGGACATGATGGCAGCATGTTAGCCCATTCAATGAAGGGACTACATTAGGCCAGGACATGGGCAAGGGCTGACCCTTCCGGTACCTGTTGGTGATGGTAACAAGCTGAGAACCATGGTCAGTACACAAGCGCCGGGCCTCACTGTAAGTCACTTGGTCTTCTCCCAGCCAGTAGCAGGATGGGCTGTGCCATGTCCAACCCTGGCTCAAGAGAGAGAACAGAAGGTGTCCGTGAGGAGGAAGACTCCACCTTTGCCTGTAAATGCTAGGGTGGGAGATGCCTTCAGGGGCATCACTGAATATGTACAGGACAGAGGGGACTGGTTTGACCTCAGAGAGGGCAGTGCCTGTTCTGGGTTTTGTACCTGGTCACTGCCTACTCTCCCTCCTCCCCACAAATATCAGACCAGGGTAGAAGCATGGCCACAGGCGGCTGATAGGCCCAGTCTACGGCCTGGCTTAGAAATGTATGTGGCACTTAAAGCAAGAGGTGCAGTGGGAGACTGCCAGCTGGCTGGGGAACCAGAGCTCAAAAGCTAAGGAGAGGTGCCAGGATGTAGAGGGGACTGAGTAGACCTTAGGGCCTAGAAAAGCTGGAGGGAGAAGGCAATTGAGGGTGGGAGACAGGTAGTGGTAACCCTCAGTGAGGAACAGAAAAGAGACCACCCCAAGCACAGTGTCAGCTCCTGGGCAGTGACAGGAGCCAGGGCAGAAGAGATGCACGTGTGATGTGTACATGGAGTGCCATGTGTCCAGCAGGAGCGATGCATAAACCCCTAGCCATCCCTGGCCACATTCCAGGCTGGCCCTGGAGCCAGGAAGTTAGCAATGCCTCTCCATCCCCTACTTCTACCTCACCCAAGCCAGGACAGAGCCCCTGGGAGCTGGGCCCCTCTGCTCTCTCCTTCCTCTGACAGACCGTGATCACCACTATCCTGGCATTTCCTGTTCCTCCCCGGGGGAGGGTTTGGCTGCCGGTGGGTTAGGCTGTGGTAAGGGGCAAAATCCAAAGGAAAACATAGTGAAGACCAGACCAACAGCAAAGGGCTGGTAGGAGAGCCAAAAGGCCACAAAGTGTGCTTTATAAGTCATCTCGCCACACTCCCCTACTCACACTTCCTGCTGGACTGGGTGGTGGAGAAGGCCTGGAAGCAGGAATGCGTAATCACCTACTCACCATCGTCCATACACTCACCCATGGACTCACTCTTCATTCCTAATCCCCTCCCTCCCTCTCAGAGCCTCTTCTAGAGCCTGGTGGGGCTAGGGAACAAGAAGGGAGAGGCCATGCCCACCAAGTGGACTCACTCCACCAGAGGTGAGGAACAAACACATGCTGTGTCAGAATGAGGCATGTGCCAGGGAGGCAGGGGAGAAAGAGGACTGGGGTACAGAGAGCCACCCCCAGCAGCCTCCTCCCACCGTGACCGAGCCAGACTCAAATCACCCCTGTATCCACCTCCTTGTCCTCTGCCACAGTGGGAAGTGGCTTCCCATGGACACAGGGCTCAGGGATAGGGGTGGGGACCTCTGCTTCTTCCCACAGCCCCCACCCCTGCCCCACCCCATCCGATCCCACTCCTTCAGGAATGAGCAGTTAGAGAGCTAGAGAAGAGGCTGGGTGCTAGGCAAGGCTGCAGGATTCTTTCTGCCTCTCCCCACCCTGGGAACCCTCTGGCCGGCCCCACCCAGGGCATCTCCAGAAACACCCTCACCTTCCGGCAGCCATGGTCCTCCTCAGCAGCCCCCTGGCTCAGCTGGCCTGCCTTCTTGCAGATGGAGGGCAAGGACTGGTTACAGGGACTGTCATTCCAGCGACCTTCCTAGGAACATATGGTGAGGGAGAATCTCACCCCAAATCTTCCCCTTCCTCCAAAACTCCAAAACCCTCTGTGAATCTGGATTCTAGACCTGGCCCTGTCTCTTGACTTGCTGTGTGATTCTGAGCAATTGGCCTGACTTCTCTGTGTTCAGTGGGGAGGAGAGGGTTAGTTCCATAAACCTCACAGGTAGACAAGAGCACAAATAGTTGATGTGTAAATGCTCTGTAAATTTAACAAGCACTGTCTAAAGACAAAAGGTGTCCCTTTAATTTAATGATGGCTCATTTTACAAACATCAAAAGCCAACTGGCTAAGATTATTAGAGTAGCTGAATAGTATAGACAGATGGAATTCCCAAATGTACAGTAACTCCCCTCCCCAATCCACATGGGATGTGTTCCAAGACCCCCAGTGGATGCCTGAACCCATGGATAGTGACAGACCCCATGCACTATATTTTATACCTATGATATAGTTTAATTTTAAATCATAACAATAAGACACTACCAGTAACTGACAGAACAGCTATAACTATATGCTGTAATAAAAGTATTTAAAGCTTATGAGTTGTTTATTTCTGAAATTTTCCATTTATATTTTTTAACTGTAAATGATCTCAGGTAACTGGGACCATGAAAAGCAAATCTGTGGGTCTTACCCACCACCATACTACTGAAGAGCCAGGGAGAGCAGAAGCTGCTTGTGCCCAGACCCAAATTTCAGCTGACGAAGGTGAAAGGAAATTTAATCTAAAATCTCCTGAGCCCTCCCCAGCATTGAGTTTGCTCCATCCTGAAGGCACAGAGTTTGTATATCCCAGCACCCAGAAAATGCCTAGCATGTAGTAGACACTCAATAAAGAATTGCTTTTAAAATTTTAAATAGTTTTCCCAAGGCAGATGGCTCTGCTGCTACGGTCCCTGGCATTGCATCTGATAGCAGAATGTCCTAACTGTCCCAAGATGGGCAAACTGTCCTTGTGGCTTTGTCTCTTTTTAAAGAATTTCTTCTCTGCTTAAAGTCATACATCAGTTCCTTTTTCCACCCACAATGTGTCTAAGTCAAAACCGTGGCAAACAGTCATGACCCCATAATTTCTAGAGAAGATAGGACCCTGAGCCTAGTAGAATCCCGGAGGGCAAGAGCTGACAGAGAGCAGACCTGCTCCAGGAGCCTCCCCATCATGTGGGTTCTGATGCCACCTGCCGTCAGGGAAGAAGAGCAGCTGGCGGGAGACCAAGAATGGTCCAGGCAGTGTGCCTAAGGCTTCATGAGAATTAACTATGTTAATCCTCCCAAGGGCCTCCTGATAACTTGGCAAGGGTGACTCAGCTAGTGGGGGTGGGGTAGGATTCAAAGCCTGGCAGCCGCTCCTGTGGAGGGAAATATGTGCAGGGGTAGGATCTTCTCAAGGGACAGTGTGTAGAAGGGAGTTCTGGTATTGGGGCATCCTTCAGCTGGTGTAGTACCAGGAGCTGGGGGTCTGGGGGAAGGGCCATGGGTTTGGTGGCTCTGTGATGGGGAAGGAGGGTCTCACCGGCCCCCAAATGGTGACACAGTCCTCCAGGCTGTCCCGAAAGTTGTTGGGCTCAAAGGGGTGCCAGTGGGTGAAGCTCACGAGGCTCCCGTCGGACCACTCAAAATTCATCTGCAGTTTCAAATCATTGAGGCCGATCCACAGCTCCTCCACCTCTGGGGGTGCGGCAGGAGAGGAGGGTAGAGAAGACACTGACAGGTCAGCCTCAGCCTGGGCAGAACCAGATGGACAGGAGACAGGTCTTGCCCTCCAACTCAGACTTGAGACTGAACAGCCCCTCACCTTGCTTGATTTGCTTGGTGATGAACTCCAGTTCGGCCATACTATGGATGCTAAGCAGGTCACCTCCACCCCGCAGACATGCCTTCTTGGACTCCTGCCAGCTGCGCTTCTCAGCCTGCAGGCGGTAGCAGTGGCCCTGGAAGGGCTGCCAGCTTGGCTCGCACTCCACCTTGACATTGGCCCACCTGTCTGCAGAGAGTCACATGGCTAATGCTCAGAGACTGAGAGGCCCAGCCTGGACACCAGTCCACTGGTTATCAACCCAGGCAGGGTCTCCAAGTCACCCCCTTCCCAAACATGTCCCACGTCTGCCTTCCTCATCCGGAACAGTGTTGGAGATGCTGAAGAAAGACTCCTTCATGAGTGCTGGAGGCCTGCGGCCAACACCTAGGTGGTGGTGAAATGGGTTGCAACTCTAAGAAAGAAATGGGAAGGGGATCAGGACACATCAGCCCCCTGGGCTTCAGTTTCTTCCTCTGTAAATGGGTTTCTCTGTTACTAGAATCAAACTTAGCTTGTAGCACTCTGCATAATAAATGGAACCCCCATTATTCTCTCAAAAATATTCATTGAGCACCAACTGCGTGTTGGCCTGCGTCTTGGATGAAGAGAATGTGAGGAAAAGGACCTTGGGCTAATAATGGGACTCAATATAGCCCACCAAGAGTCTGAGGTTGTGGTGAATGAGCAGCCAGGAACATCACGGAGTGCCTAAACTCACTGCAGATTGGCCACACTTCCTGGGTAGGGGTCCTCCCCTTGCTCCTTCCTCTACTCCCAACTCCTCTGTCTGCACAAGGCCCACGTCCATGCATTTCAGATTCACCCTCTAGGGACTAGGATCCAAAGGCAGCTAAGGCAAACAGGCCCTCACTTGGGTCTTGGCAAGAGAAAACAGGACTTCTCCAAACCACCCACGATGTCAGGCTTAGGCAGGATTCCACCTGGCCAGGCAGGAAGGCATGTGCCCACTGGAAGCATCACCCTAAACTGGGATTCTGGGACTTGGTCCATCCCAGCTGGCCGCTGGGTGCTCCAGCCATACCTTTTCCTTGGAGTCCCCAGGCAAAGTGGGTAGACTGAGAGCTGGAGTGGACTCATTCCTTGGCTCAGATGGTGTCAATCATCTTTTGTTAGCCAGTGAACTAAGACCCGAAGTTGCAGCCCCTGACAGAACCAATTTTAGTAGCTGTTGGAGTGGAGGGGGCTCAGGAAGGAGCAAGGGAGTTCAAAAAATGTGGAATGCTCAGGAAATATGGATGCTTTCTGGGCACGAAGGGGCCTGCCTTTGAAATGACATGTCTTATTTGATGAGACCTGAAAGCAAAACCCATCCAACAACTGCTTATAGAGCTGGGTGCTAGGGGGAGGGGAAGAAATCCCAGGCCACAGACTTGTCTACAGGTCCTGGAGGCTGGAGGAGGACTCACCATAGGGGCCATATTTTCCTTATAAAAATCTCCTTTGCTACCCACTCAGCTACAAGACTATCCAAAGGCAGTAGCCCCTCCTGCCTGTACTGATAAACCCATGCCACCTAGAGGCACTCCGTGGTGCCAGGCCAGGTCTCCAGCCTTATTCACAACACCCTTGGCAAGGTGGATATGTTTACTTTCAATTTGAAAGTGAGGACTCTTCACCGCAGAGACTAAGCTGCTTGCCCAAAGCCACACACCAGTAAGATCCCCAAAGCAGGCTCTGCCCTTTGCTCCAAACTCCCCCATCTCTCCCATGAGGGCCCTAGAGATATCTTTGTGAATCACACAAGGGACTAAGACAGTCCCTGCCTGAAAATTTTGCAAAGACTCTGCACAACCTACCTGACCCCACCCAAACTTCGCCCAGCAGCCAAGCCCCTTCAGAGACTGGCTGCAACCTGCCTTTCTGAACTCTGCTCAACACATGCCCATAAGCCAGTGCTTCTCAAATGGTATCTGCACATGAGTCACCTGGGGATCTTGTTAAATGCAGGTTCTGATTCAACTAATCTGGGGTGGGGCCTGCAGGTCTGCAGTTCTAGCTCGTCCCAAGCGATGCTGTACTGTCCTCAGCCTGCATGTTAAGTAGTGTCTATACTGCAACTGCATGGCAGATTCGCCGTTCCTCAGAGGCACTGTGCACTTCCACGCCTCCACACTTTGCACATGCGCTTCTCCCAACACTTCTCTTTGCCTTTTAAATTTATGCTCAACTTGAAAGGTGCAAGCCAAATGTCACTTCCATAAAACCCTTAACTCACAGAAGCTTAATCAGGTTCGTCTCTAGCACTTATTATACATATTTCTAGAATAGCCCATAACTCAGGATATTCTAATTATGGGTTTTGGCATCTTGTCACCTCCAGCAGACTGTGGTTTCCACAGGTCACAGAGAATATTGCCAGCCTTTGACACACTTCCCAACAAATGTTTCCCGAATGAATTAATGGCACATTCTAATTTGTTCAGACTTTAGCTGAACAAGTAAATAAGAATAGAGAGGATCAGAGCCACCTTGTGCCATGGAGGGAACAAGAGGAGAGGCTGAGCCATCTTGGCCGTGACCCTGGAGTCTCACTCCTGCCCTGTGGCCTGACCTCCGCTCACCTGGCGGGGTGGACTCGGCTGTGGCATTGGGCTTCTTCTTGCACACATAGGGCAATGCAATGCTGCAGTCACGATTCTGCCAACCGCCTGAGGATTCAGTGCGAATCACTCCACAGTTCTCTTCACTCGGATTGTCTGGCTGATCTGTGGGGTGGGTCGGGTGCCAGCACCGCAGGAGAGAGAAGCTGACCCTGGCCCCTGGAGCCTTCTGCCTCCCTTCACTCCCCGGAGAAGCACAACCCTCAGCTCCAGCTCCACTGTAGGGTCCTCCTACTTTCTATCCTGGGTCTATGCTGTCCTGAACCCCATACTCAGCAATGTCCCAGTCCTAGCCTCCCCAGCCAGGCTCTGGGTGCACTGTCCTGAATGCTGCTATGCCCTGCTCAAAGTTGTGAGCGGAGCTGAACCCAGTTCACTCACCAAGCCCTGGGATGGGGTGGACCCACCTGCCTGAGAAGAAGGGGCAGATTCTACTTACAGCCTAGTCCAGGAGGGGGTGGAAATCTGAACTTCACCCACCCCCACTGAAGCAAGGTAGAAGGAGGGTTCTCTGAGTCCCAAACCCCATGCCTCACCACTCTCCCAGTTGAGGTACTTGAGAGGTGAGTTGTCTGACCACTGCCAGCCTCCACTGGTGTCCAGATCATTAAGGCCAATCCACAGCGTGGAGCTGTAGCCAGTGAGGAGCCCTGGCAGCAAGAGGGGGCACTGAGAAGAGGAAACCCTGTCCTCAGCGCTCCCACTCTCTCCCCTAGCTCCACCCCTGCTAACAGCATCCTTTTCCTCTCCATCCCCCACAGAGCAGAAAGGGCACAGGGCCCTCCACCTGGGGGAGCAGGTCTCAGTCTTCTGACACCCTGTCCTGCCCTCAGGGTGGCCCAGACCCCAGCCAACCAATTCTGCCACAGCGGGCTCCTCCACCTCACCATTGATGTAGGTCTGCTCATGGATCTCAGTGATGCTCAGCAGATCTGCCCCCTGCTGCTCGCAGCTGGCCCAGGCCTCCCTCCAGGACAGCGTGGACTGGAAGTTAAACTGGTAGCAGCTATCTGTCAGCTGGTCCTTGTCCCAGAAGGTCTCACAGTCGTTACCTGCCACCCAGACAGATAGACAGTGGTCCTTCCCCAGCTCTCTCCCTCAGCCTATACTGGATCCTTTAAGAGTGTAGAGACCACTCACACAGGCTGCTCTGCATAGGAGGCATAGCTTCTCATCCAAGCCCACATTGAGGCCCCTCCCCAATTCCTTGCCCCTTATCACCAGCCTCCCTCCAGGTGTCTGCCCTACTCAGCCCCCACTCTCACTCTTGATGGGGCAGAAGCCCCAGCGCTCGTCTTTGCCATAGTCCTGGGTGGTGGCACACCACAAGTGCCCATCCTCACGGCCCGTGCTGGTGCAGCCATGGAACCACTGGTTGTCATATTTGAAGGGGATGGTGCACGGCTTCCCATGGGAGTTCCCCTGGATGGTGTAGACCTCTGCAGGGAGCAGTCAGACCCTTGACATGTGGACCCCATAAGCTGCCCATCCCCCTCACCCCTCAGAGAACATCCCCTATAACCAGGGGCCTGGGGTTGGGCAGGGGTCAGCAGAGAGTGGGAGGGGGCAATGGGGCCAGGCAGCAGCTTTAAGGCTTCTTCTGCTTTTAGGTCAGCCCAGGGGCCTGGGATAGGTCCATGGCATACACCACAGAGCAGGAAAGGGGCTGTCCAATTCCTTTAGCACCTATTCAATACTGAGTTGGGTGAGAAGGGCTCCAAGTCACCCACAGAGGCCTGAGCTCTCCGGAATCCCTACTCAGCTACCCAGCCAAGGGGCTCCATGTGTCCTCTACAAGTTCTACCTTGGAACTTGGGGTAGCTTCCAGGAGAGAGCCCTACCCAGGGATGGAGCTTCTCAGCACAAAGAGGCCCCTCACTGGCTGACTCAGTCCCCCTTCACCACCAAAAACATCTGTGTGGTGTTACCCAGGGGTCCCTCCTGGCCAGTGGGACTGGGGAAGGGGATTTTCATTTAATTTGGGGTTACTCATTTTTGTACTGTTTCAAGTCTTTACAAGCAGTACTAATTTTGCTTTTAAAAAAGTAAATGCTTTGAAGTTAATTTTCCTAATTATTCAGAAATGTTTCTGGTTACAATTAAAAAAGTAACTGTCAAGGTTCCACAGAAAGCCAAAGGCCTTGTCATCCTGGATGGAAGATGTCCCTCTGTTGCTCTAGTCCCCCTCACACCAGGGACTCCACCCCTCCCCTGCAAGCAGCCCCTCACCATAGTAGGGCCGAGCACATAGATCCTCTTCACTGCCATAGATACGCCACTGGCCACTGCGGGTCTGATCACCACGCTCAAAGGTGCCAGGTTTGGATGCATTGCTGGTGCGGCCCCCCAGAAGCAGGGACAGCTGGTCCCCCAGTGTCCGACAGTGCCAACGAAGACTCAATGCCTCCCGGTCACACTCATACATGCCCAGGGAGGCTGTCGTGTTGGTGCCTGGCCAGCCTGTGCCCAAGCACTGCATGGCACCCAGGTTGAAGAGACGGTTCCGGGAGACCCACTTCCAGCGCTGGGCTGAGAGACTGGCATTGCAAGATGAGGTGACTCTGACCTGTGTCCCCTGAGCCTCCAGACAGCCCTGCAGTCCATGGCTGAAGATGAGGAAGACATCAGGTTCTGGAAGGGAAGGGAGGACATGAAATTGTCACAGGGACTCTCTGGCCCTTGATGACTAGTATTTCTCTTACATGTCAATCACTCAGTCTTCAGTGTGGACCCTTGCGAAGTTGGGGAGAGAGGCGGTGCTGCTACACCTTGTGCTCAGAGGAGGCCTGGTCCCCTTCTGATCCAGCTCCATGCCCACCTGGAGGCAAAACTCAGTCCTCTGTCCCACCCCCAAAGCAAACTCAATTCTACCCAGCAAATACAGCAATGTATACAGTAGTCCTCCCCTCCCCTGCTGTTTCATTTTCCTCAGTCCCAGTTATCCACAGTCAACTGTGGTCCAAAAAATATTAAGTGGAAAATTCCAGAAATAAACATTGCATAAGTTTTAAACAACTTTTACTGTAGTATATTGTTTTAATTGTTCTTATTTATTTATTATTTTGCTGTACTGGGGTTTGAACTCAGAGCCTCATGCTTACTATACAGGCACTCTACCACTTGGATCCCTCCACCCTAATTTTTCTAATTTAGTATTAATTATTGTTGATCTTCTACTGTGCCTAATTTGTAAATTAAACTTTGTCATGTATGTTTAAGGAAAGAAGATGATAGTATATACAGCAATCAATAATATCTGGCTTCAGGCACCCACAGAGGGGTCTTGGATCCCCTGTGAATGAGGGAGGACTACCATTCTTTTTAGAAGATCTTAGAAGAGGTGTTTGCATAACATAACACATGGCAACCTCAATCTCAGTACATGTCAGTTTTTCTGCCAAATCTCTTCCCTTGGACGTACTTTGTCTCACTCTTTCCCTTGTCCCTCAGCTTCACTGGTTCCATCCTTTTCTCCTTCTAGAAACTTCCCAAGCCACTAACATACACACCCATAACTATTTCACATCGTATTTTTTAGATAACACAATTTAGCCCTTTGGCTCCTCCATGTGCCTCACTAAGCAGACTCCTCTGTGAGAGCCATGGGGAAAACACGACCCCAGCATACTTCACAGATTAGGAAATGAGAAATGAGATTGAACTGGACAGAGACAGAAAGCAGATTAGTGGTAGCCGGGGGCTGGAGTGAGGGTGATGGGGACTGAAAGTGACTGCTAAAGAATACAGTGCTTCTTTGAGGGGGTGGTGAAAATGTCCTAGAATTAGACGATCATATGAATATGCTAAAGCACAATTAACTTTACATTGTAAGTGGGTGGATTTTATGATATGTGAATTGTGTCTCAGGAAAGAAGAAAGGGAGAGGAAGGGGAGGAACAAGAGAAAAGAAAGAAAAAAAGAGAGAAAGGAGAAAGAGAGGAAGGAAGACAAGGAAAGAGAGAAAGAAAAGAAAAAGGGAGAAGGAAAAAGTGGGGGGGGGAAGACAGACTGAGGCTTAGAGACATGAAATGACCTCCTCACAGTGCCACCCAGACAGTAAGTAAACCCAGGTCTCCCTGACATTCACATTTCCCCATCTTCCTCCTGTGTGCCAGCTGTACACAACATATATGTACTGCACACCCCATCTGCACGGAATTTTTGTACCCAATAGCTCCTCAGGATAACGTTCAGATTCTGGCTCTAATACTTAATGTGTGATTTGGACAAGGGCTTAACCTCTTTCTGACCCAGCTTCTTCATCATAAGACTACTGTAGAGATGAAATGAAACAACAGACAACACATGTAAGTGCTTGGCACAGGCTCTGGTATATAGTAAGAGTATATAAATGTTCATCAGCATCATCACAAGTTATAGGTAAAGAAATTGACTAAGGGCAGTGAAGCAATTTGATGGCCAGAGTCACAAGGCTGGTAAAAGATGGAAGTGAAATTTGGACTCATTCTCTTGAATCCAAACCCCAAGTTCCTTCTGTTTCCCCAAGCTGGCCTTACCTATCTGAAGAGTCCATTCTCTATAAGCAAGCCAGAATGATGTTTTAAAGACATAAATCAGTTTCAGAGAAATAAATTTAAATAATACTGGGGCATTGAAGGCCATAAGGAGAACAATGATGATCAATGGCATAAGATTTTTTTTCATGGCAAGATGACGGCCAAAAGCAAAATCAAAATTCAAATGACATGTAACTTAATAGAGGCAAAAGGTTGTTTCCCTAATATAAAAAGTGCTTCTACCAAAATAAATAAATGACTTCACTAAGAGAAAATATTAATGCAGCAGAAATTAGTGAAAGACACACAGAAGTGCAAATGGCTTTACATATTTGAAATGACAGCCTCACTCACAGTAAAAGGAAAATAAACAATACAAATCAAGTAAATCTCCCTCTTGTTTAAATTCCTTCAAAGGTGATTCATTATTTTTCAAATAAAATTCAAGCTCTTACAATGAGCCAGGAAGTCAGATACGATCTGGCCTTGTCTACCAGTCTGATCTCAGATCACAGCACTCCTCCTTGCTCAAGCCATGCCAGCCTCCTTGCTCTTCCCTGGCTCCTTGCACCTCAAGGCCTTTAAACTGTTTCCTCTACCTGGCATTGCACATTTCCGAAAAAAAAAAAAAAAAAGGGTCGCATCTTTAGAGAGGCCTTTCCTAATCTTCCAATCCAAAGTAACCAGTTATTCTCTATTATTATATCTTTTGATTATGGTTCTCTTTGCAATGTTTATTTCTCATGTTTTCTATCTGGGCTGTCTGAAGTCCTGTGTGTACTGATTTTTTTTTTTCTTGGTTATGGCTTTTTCCTGCTGCCTATATGTCTAGTAATTTGTATTATATGCTGGATATTGTGGTTAAAGTCTAGTAATTTCTGTTACTGAATATTGTGATGTTGTGGATGGTATGTTATAGAGAATCTGATTTTTAAAAATCTTCCTGTAAAGAACATTGAATTTTGTTCTGGCAGGCAGCTAAATTACCAGAGGATCACTTTTATCCTGTGGAGACATGGTTTTAGCCTTTCTCGGGGTGGGGTTGTTTTGGTTGTGCCTTAAATCTTAGGGTGTGGCTCTTAGCCTTGGATTTAATCATGAGGTGAGACCCTTCTGGGGTTCCAAAAGAAAACCTTAGGTGATTACCAGGTCCCTCTAACTTGGTGGAACTTGAATTTCAAACTCTTGTTTCCTCAGCACTAGGAGCAACTGAACCCTCTGCCTCCCAGCTGCCTGCTGGGCTTGGAGCCTTGCCCAGCACAATTTAGGAACCATTAAGGATTTGAGGGGAATCTTGAGGAAGAACTTCTATGGCTCCATTCTTTCCAGTATTTTCTCCTCAAATTTTACCCTTTCTAGTAGCCCCAAACAAACTCTGACCTCTGATTCTGCAGCCCAAGTGAAATACCCACTTCTGATGAGTTCCTCAAACAGGGCAAGGCACTCAGGGAACGGCTGGCTCAACCTGCCACTCACCTGGTTTCTGTTCTTCTTTCAAGGTTTTTCCTTTCCTCTCTATGTCTGTCTGTTGAAAGTTACTCTTCAGTGCCTTTGAACTATTTTGCATTTTATCCTTAGTCTATAAGCATTCTTGGCCATTTCCAGAACTCTGGGATGTTCTGTTTATTTTCTGTGTGTCCCCTCTTGTTCCTAAACTCCTGAGGTCTTTCTCTTGTCTTCTACACCTCTGTATCCCCAGCACTGTACCCCTCTCTGTCACACAGTAGTGCTTAATAATACTGAATGAATAAAAGAATGCAGGCAAAAATGAATGAATCTCACGCTTAGATCAGACCACTATCAACCAGTCTATCTATCTTTCTGCTCCTTGTCCCACCTGCCATTCGGTGCCACTGAGTGCTCATAACACCATGAAGGGAAGTCTGGTGGGGCTAGGATCCCTCTATTGCCTGACAGTACCAGGATGGGGGCCTCTTTGGCAAGACACAGGTGAGTTTCCTGAAAGGCTGTCAGGACAGCTGCCACAGCTAATCCCCCAATCACTGGGTCCCCTGCCCTTAACCTGTTCCTTCCTTCTGCTATGGTCTGAATGTTTACATCCCTTGCCAAATTCCTCTGCTGAAATCTTAAACCCCCAAGGGGTTAGGATGTGGGATCTCTGAGAGGTGTTTAAGTCATGAGAGCAAAACCCTTATGAATAGTGTTAGTCGTCTCATAAAAAGAGACCCTAGAGAGACTCTTGCCCCTTCTACTACGTGAGATTACAATGGGGAGATGGCCACCATAAGAAATAAATTTGTTTTTTCAGTAGTGGGGATGGAAATCAGGGTCTAGCACTTGCTATGCAGGTGCTCTACCCCTTGGGCCACTCTACCAGCCCTTTTTGCCTCTGGTTAATTTTGAGATAGGGTCTCCCTTTATGCCTAGACCTGGACAGTGATCCCCCTATTTGTCCTATTTGTGCTTTCCTGAGTAGTTGGGGATAACAGGCCCGTGCCATTGTGCCCAGTCATCGGTGGAGATGGAGTCTGTGAACTTTGTGCCCTGGCTGGCTTCAAGCTGCAATCTTCTCAATCTTTGCCTCCCAAGTAGCTAGGATTGCAGGTGTGAGCCACTGTACCTGCCCAATCTCTGTTGTTTCTAATTTTCTTTCTTTCTTTCCTTCTTTCTTTCTCTTTCTCTCTCTCTCTCTCTCTTTCCTTTCTGTCTTTCTTTTCCTTTCTTTTTTTTTTTGTGGTCCTGGAGTTTGAACTCAGGGCCTTCACTGGAGCCACTCTACCAGCCCTATTTTTGTGAAGGGTTTTTTGAGATAGGGTCTCATGAACTATTTGCCTAGGCTGCTTTGAACCACAATCCTCCTGATCTCTGCCTCCTGAATAGCTAGGATTACAGGCATGAACCACTGGCGCCTGGCTTCTAATTTTCTTAATTATGGCTTTTTTTTTTTTTTAACAGCAGGCTGAATGGACTAAGACACCATACAACAACCTTCCACAAATGATGAACTGGCTCCAGGACTTGATCCAGACCTGCCCAAACTTCCTTTTAGGCTATTTTATTCTTAGGAATTTCACTCTGGTGAGGACAGTTAGTAGTGACTGAAAGTGGCCCTCAGCAGGGGGTGGGGAAAGGGCCTGGGACCAGAAAAGAAAGAAAA